TGTTATAAAGCCACTGTATTTACACCCTCCACCCGACATAAGGGAACCTTGTTTAGCTGTGAGTGTGACTCCAGACGGAGTAGGAGTGGATAGGGGGCAGTTTGGAATTGGGCCTATAATGTGCCATAAATACAGGTCATAGTGGCTTTTCTATATGCAGTTGAAAGAGCACTTACAGAGAGGTAGAGCTGGGTCTGTCTCTGCAGGAGGACACTGTTTTCCCGGCTGCTCTCCTTCAGACTCTCTGCTCTTTTCTTCTCATTGTCCATCTGGGCTGAGAGGTGAGACAACTTGCTGTTCTTCAGACCCTCACTCTCATTCTCTACAAGAGATCACAAAACAACACCCGGGTCAGGTCAATGCAGTGAAACAAAGACGGTGACATTTAGTGAGGATTTGTACTGGTGGGAACAGGTGAATCGGTAATACTGTACCCCATTCAGGTTGATAGTAAGAGAGGAGGCTCAAACACTTTTTCTTCAGATGTTTCTCCAGCTCTCTGGGTAGACTCTGTTTCATTCTTTGAACATTCTGGTAAAGATAAAAACATAATAGTTTAAGAATAAGTGTCTTTGTTGCTTTTCTGAAATAAAGTCTTCTTTAATGCCACTGTGTCATCCATTATTTCAAACACAAAACACATACAAAGATAAGATATGATAAGATGTACTTTATTCATCCCAATTTGGGAATCTTTTTGTTGCAGCAGCATAAAACAAAACCAGGCATTGCACATAATAACAAATTAAAAGAGGAGAAATAAACTATTCTAAAATAGAAACATCTCAAAATAGAAATAGAAAATAAACCAGCATTAGAGAGTAAGAAAAATATATAGATGACCGTGAAGATAAACAATCTATAACAATTAGGACAAATAAAAACACTATTGATAGGCCAATTTTCTGTTAACACAATATATTAACATCAAGTGTGCAAGGAAGGGAATATTCAATTAAATATACTATCAAATGTACAGTGTGAATGCTAACTCATTATTCATTCTTCTTTAAGTATGTATGTGAATGATGTGTATTTTATGACTTTCCTTCTCCATGGCATGAGCTCCATCATCTGTTGGGGGGTCAGACCCAGACAGAGGGGCTGGTCCTGGTTGGTAGTGCTACTGGGAGCCAGCTGTCTGATACACCTGAGCCACCAGCAGACACTTCTCCATCATCTCATAGAACTAAACACACACACACACACACACACACACACACACACACACACACACACACACACACACACACACACACAACACACACACACACAACCACACACACACACACACACACACACACACACACACACACACACACACACACACACACACACACACCTACACCACACACACACCACACACTACACACACACACACACACACCACACACACACACACACACACATCACACACACATAACACACACACACACACACACACACACACACACACATCACACACACACACACAACACACACAACACACACACACACCAGCACACACACACATACACAACACACACACACACACACACACACACCACACACACCACACACACACACACACACACACACCACTACCACACACACACACACACACACACACACACACACACACCACACACACACACACACACACACACACACACACACACACACACACACACACCCACACCACCACACACACACACACACACACACACACACAACACACAGAGTAGAGAGAGTTCAAATGTTAAACTAAAAAACTAAGATTGCATGTGCAAAGTGAGTTCATTCATGATTCATTGACATAGCTGTTCATGTTGAATTTGTTGTGTTCCGTTGAAGTGTGTGAAAGGTACCATGTTCTGGTCAGGTGGTACAGTGGCGTGGTGCTTCCTGATACAGTGGTCCTGGGTCATCTCTTGCAGCGCTTTGTGGATCCCCTCGGAGCGCAGCCAGTAACGCCTCTGGCTCTGCAGCTTCTGCTCAGCCTGGAATAAAGCACGTGTGAGCGCACATCAATACACACACATGTGCAGGGCTACGGGTTCTGTGATTGCTATTCTTTACAGTTACCAGTAGATGTCAGTAAGACGTAGATTTCTTACTTTGTAATAAAATATGAATAACTTCTCTTCGTAAAGTGGCAATTCCAGGATAGATGTAGCTATGTTAGTAGTAGATTGAGTAGCATCATATAACAATACAGTTTGATGCAATCTTGTGCAATAAACCTGCTATGTGCACTACACTGTTTTGCAATTGTACCATTCAAAAATCACTTTTATGTAAAACATACATTTTAATTAATGTCCCAAAATGTTTATAATGTCTCAACACCTTAATATGTTACTTATGTCACCCATTTTTAGCCATGGTTGTGTGTGTACTTATTTCTCTTTACTTTTATTCTTTTCCTAATGTGTGCTTATTCTCTATATTTAATAAGTATCCATTTCCCCACTGCGGGACTAATAAAGGAATTCTGATGCTGATTAATAGTCCATCTTGCGAAATAATGAGATGTATGTCAGCAAATGTGGTAAGAAACATTGTAAGATGTAGTTCAAGCTTGCCGATACCTTCTCCAGCTCTGTCTTCAGTGGGACAGTGAGTCCACTTTGGTCCACATGCTGTGCCAGGGTGGCCAGGAGTTTACAGAACTGAGCGTTCTGGGTCAGGTCCTCTTCTGTTATGTCACACAGAGGGAAGGAGGCGAGAACTGTATGGGAGGACAGTAAATACAGTAACCTTAGTATCAATGCCCGGACAAAAAAACAGGAGATTCTGAATAGCACAGTCAAATTCAGCCTATGCTACTACTCTCACATGTAACCAGTGGTAGAAAGTACATTTTCTTGAGTGAAAAATGTATGTACTTGTACTTTACTTGAGTGTTTGCACATAATGCCACTTTATACTTTTTAGATACTTTTCAGATTTCAGATTACCAATACGAAATGTAAATCAACTCATACATTATGATATATTATAATAAATGTATCTGCTCGGTAGTAACTAACTCAAACAAACCCAACTTGTACCAACTGCAACATTGAAGTGATTAACACATTCATAATTATATTACAATAATATCAAATATATGGTGCTTAAATGGGCCATTCTGCATAATGATTACTTTAAGTATATTTTGATTCTTATACTTTTGTACTATTACTTAAGTAGAATTTGAAATGCACAACTTTACTTGTAACTGAGCATTGTTACACTCACTGTATTCTTGCTTCTTCGACCTCTCCATTGAACTAATACACATTTTATTACACTGGTTTTAGGATACGATTAAGAAATCTTAACGTTTTACTTGAACTCCTCTTCAATCTGAAATGAGCTTTTGAGCATTGACTTGTCAGAGTAAGTTAAACAGCAGCTAACCTCAACGCAAGTAAGTAATTTAGACATGTTTTCTTACCCTGTTGGTGCAGACTGTCGCCTTTTCCAAGTGTTGATACATATGTAGACTCAGCAGCCGACATTTTCGATCGAATTATTTTCCTTTTTAAACAAGTAATTTATCAGGTTTTAGGTTTCTAAAGACTTGTTTTCGCTCATTTGTGAGGAACAAGAAAATGAAATGCGTACTTCCTGAATCAAGTTCCGCGCGCACGAAGGAAGCGTTCCTATTGGCTAACATGTGAGCCATGTGGTCAATCAGAGCGAGAACGTGCTTGCCACTCGCGGGAGCGTGCACTGTGAAAGGGAACATGTTATTTCAATGTTTTTCTAACAGAAAATAGTCATAGTGAATGCATTTACCAAAAAAGGGCATAACATGGTACAAAATTAAAAGTCATCATCAGACTAATCCCATTTCATTATGTGTTAGTAGGTCTCTTATAAGTAGTGATGTGTAAAGGATCACAACCAAGATCACAACATAATACCTTTCACAGCAGTTCACTAGGAGGGTATAGATAAAAGCTATGATAAATTAGGAACATCAATAATCAGGGCTGGACTTTGTGATAAAGGAGCCCTGCTAGAAAAATGCTCCCTAATCCCACCCTTCAATCCTGTAGTGGTTGTTAGCTTTTTCTGTACTTGTTTCAGTGGGGGAAAAATAAATTCAAAGTGAAATGGCAAATCATGATAAGAGCTTGACTAACAGGGGGTTATATGAGTTTGGGGGATATCTTACAATTAAGTAATCAGGCTATTATTATGACAGTCATTGAAAAGCTGATTAGAGGGGATTACATGATACTTTTATTTGTTGGGTCCCTGCTGCTGTATCCAAATAATGTATTCTGAGCCTTTTTATTCAGAATGATTTGTTATGCACCATTTTAACAGCTGTGCAAGGTCTCTCTGTGATGGATAGAATATTAAGGAAGCCGGCACACTCAGTCCTATCCATATTGAATCTTGGTTATCAACAACTGTGATTATTCCTGTGGGGCTTTCCCTGTGACCTCTGGCCTCTCATGTGTGCTTCTCACAGCTGTTTCTTCCCAACTGTCCCTGCATGTCTGGTCTTCTTTGGGCTTCACACCTGGTGCTTGCAACCATTCTATAACCTAACTTTTCGTAGACAGTTTTGAAATCTTTCTTCGTTATTATTTTTGCAATATGTTGTGACAAATAACATTGTTGTGGCTTTTGTGGTTTAATTATTCAGTTTTTCCCTCTTTCAGTGTACATCTTGGTGTTTTGAGCATGTACTGGAACTTTTGCGTGATACATTATATGATAGTACTTTACTGTATTGCTGTTTACACAGGGCTGGTGGTCCTTACTCATCAATGAGTGGGCAAAAATTAGCTATGGAGCCAGTACATTTGAATACATTTCTAATTGACACATAGAAAACCAATGGATTGTGTGAGGATAAAACTCCCTAGGTAGTATTGGTCACATTTATGGACCAACCCTTATTTGCTAAACCAATACGTGACAGCTAGTGTTGATTGCCTAGGTCATTGACCAATCATAATCCTGGGTTTCCCAATGGGCGGGTTTTTGTCATGGAGGGGTGGGATGTTCGAGGTCATTCAGTCCCACTCTGATTCACTCTATCGGCGTGTATTTGTGGGGACGGGTAGTTGGAGTAAGGAGTCGCCGGGCGGCAGTGCAGCTCAAACGCTTTTTGGAGAGAAACGCCGCTGAAATTGCACCACAGACGGAGGAAACAACCCCCGGTGACGAAATTATTCAACGCAAGAACTGCGCCACACGCACAACCAACAAACGCAGACAGGCTATCACATGCTAGGCAGCTAGCATCCCTGAAAACTGACGGGATCAAGGTGTTGATCGCTAGCCTCCCAGCTAATTATCCATCAGCTAGGCATCCTCCTGCCGTAGCATCATTAGCTTTCTTCTGCTCTTCGCGCACGTCGAGACTTCACCATTGCTCGTGGCGGTGCCTTTCAGCTTGCGAGCACCAAATCCCACGTTCAGACAGAAATAGACAACGGGAGCTTCTTCACGAGCTGCTGGTGCTGGAGACAGCGTCTGCGTTGCAATAGTTGCCACCATCACACCCATCTCCCAACCCCTTCACCACCTCTGCCCCTCTCCTGCCACCCGAAACACTGGAAATCCACAAGCGGAGCGGGCCGGAGAGCGCCGACGGGCCGGCGAAGCTGGGGGCCCTCTTACGATACCCGACTCGCCTGGAGTCGTAGCGGCCAACAGAAAGCTCAACTGTGGAGACGTACCGACGAGTATGGACGGGCTGGCCGTGGAAGTTCGCGGCTCGAATGCGGCCTTCTACAAGGTAACCTGGTTAAAGTCGTAGTTTCCAGTTGTCCCAGATAAAAGTTTAGTTTCAGGAAGAACTGTTCAGCTTCCTGCTTTCTACGTCCTGCCCTAGATAGACATGGACTATTTGACAAATTGTAGCTTTGGACCAGTTCTGGCAAACCGGGATGGTTTTTTCCCTTCCATTAGGGTTGGCCAATTGTGGGGTGGGTAGCTAGCTCCAGCTAGCTCATAAGCTAGGCACACTTGTCATCACCATGTACGGCCTATATTTGGTCCCTTTAAAAAAAAAATGTCAATATGAATACAGAGCATGTCATTGGAACCACATTCTTCATAGTTTTAAAATGGCAATAACCATTTCTCATAGCATTTTGCTTTGTCCTTCCAATGTTGGATGCAGTCATTTAAAAACCGAAGCGAGCTGCTGATCACACAGCTGTTGTTCAGTTCCTGCTCTGATTCAGTATGATGAGTACTACATTAATACTTTACATTTGTTGTGTACCTTTACCCACCCTCCAGCTGCACAACTGTACCTTAGGTCGTGTGTGTATTTCCCTGACAGGGAAGAACTAGAGTCTGAGTTTCTGTTTCAATTCAGCCTCTTTTTCAAAAGAAGAGGCAAGTGTAGTTTCATATTTAGACACAGGCTTTCAGACATCAAAATAAGATGTCCAATTAAGTGGCTTCCAATTGAAATTTACAATTATTGTTTATAAAAAGACAGCTGCAATATCAATGTTTGTATGAGTCCTATGCATTTGGATCTTGGTGAGCAGTTATCATATCGAGTAACTTAGGCTTTTTTGTTAACAATCTGATGAAGTTAAATATCATCCTTATCAACAACCTGTTTTCTTGTCTTAATATTTATGACATTCCTATTTAATTTAAAACACGTTTATTTCTCCATGTGCTCTTCTCCTCCAGTTGTTCAGATTGTCAAGTGACCACATGGTGCTTTAGGGATGAGCCTATATTACTCATGGTGTGGCTTCACCTGTCGTTCTGTTTTACAGGGTGACAGTTTGGCTAGGGCATAAATGAATATTTCCACTCCTCCATTACATCCATTATCTCACAGCTCTGATTTAGTGGGTGACATGGACACTTACCTGTAGTGACATTTTAAATGTCATACTCCAGTTGATGTGTTATCCTTGTTAGGAGAGACGGGACAAAAGCCTTGTATTGCTTTATTTTCTGTTTTGTTTCACACGGGTATACATTGATTGTGCTTTTT